ACCTGAACCCTGAACCTGAACCTGAACCCTGAAACTGAACCTGAACCCTGAACCTGAACCTGAACCCTGAAACTGAACCTGAACCCTGAACCTGAACCCTGAACCTGAACCTGAACCTGAACCTGAACCTGAACCTGACTTCACATTTAATCACAGCCTCAACAGGAAACGCTGACAGCTGAAGGATGAAGGGCAGTAGCTAAAGAGCAGCTAAAAGTAGCCTAAAAATGTATTAATTGTTAGTTTCTATTAGTTTAATTTGAAGGTGGGCGGGATCATCTGAAGTGTAGGGGTCACCTCGAGCCAGTTTCACTCGAGGTGACCCCTACAGAAACAAATCAGCCAATCCAAACCAGAGTTATAGCTCGAGTTATAGCTCCAACTTCCAGGTAAACCTCTTCAAAACTAAAAGTATTACTTTCATTGAATTTGCACGTTTTTATAAATAACATTTGAAGTTAGTCAAACAACAGAGTAAATACTTTCACTACCCTGGTTTTATATATGCAGTCAGTTTTTATATTCATTATTTAAATATTGCTAAATGTTATTTTATTTCTTTTTGAGGCTCTTACTTTGAAGTTTYGCTGCTAAAGATGCTACATGCTAACACATGGTACCTAACACATCCAGCACAGCTTGTTAGAGTGGATAAGTTTTATTTAATTCAGGATAAGCGGCAGAAATATACAAGTTATGAATTTTTTTAATGACTTAAAATTAGCAGAACCTAATTTAGTGGATGCTAATGTGTTTCCAAATTAATCCGCCAATTGAGAAGCTAGTTTCACTATTAGCAGGTTAGCGAAACAGTTAGCTCCACTGATAGCACATCAGACTTCAGCTCGTTAACCGACTGACTTGTAGCCGTTTGTTAGCWGCCATCTTGAATCAGGAAACTCTAAAACTAGACGAACAGCATCCAGTTGACCTTCATCAGATGTTTTGCTAACAGCCTTCACGGTGGTCAGAGTTGAGTGTTTCTGTCGTCCTGCAGCTCTGGAGCTGCAGAACACGGAGCTGATGGTGCAGAGGTTCGGGAGGCTGGTGGACCTGGAGGCTCTGCAGACACTGCCGGGTCATCGGAGGCTGGAGGAGCTGAAACAGGAGAAGCTCCTCCTGGAGAAAGCTCAGCGCCAGGAGCTCAGACTGTGGGAGGTACGACTCTGAACTGTTAACCTGCAGCCGCAACCACGTTGAACTGAAGCTGAACGCTGACTCAGCGTTTACTCACTTTACCTGTTTATGTTTACTTCTACATTCTGCTGTCTACCTCCTTCAGCTTAATTTCAGCTGTTTCAGCTGTTCACATATCAAAACGTTTATCTCATTCAGAGGATTGTTTTTTTTTTTTACTTCTGTAGTTTGTAAAATATTTAACTTTATTTTAAGAAATTTCAATAAATCATTTTAAGATTTCCTTTAAAAAATTCTTCTCTATTGGAGCTAACTTTGGCTAGTTTTAGCAACTGGTTTTTAGTTTTATTGAGTTTACATGTTTTTCCTATTTTAATTGTTCTGATGCTTTTAGCTAATGTTCAGCTGTATTTAGATTTCAGCTAGTGTTCTGCTGATTTTAACCTTAGCATAAATTTTCCTAATCATAACTTCTGATTTTCTATTTAGTTTTTATAACGGTTTAGCTCATTTTAGCATCTGGTTAGATTATTTTAGCTGCTGTTTCTAGTTTTGACAACTCAGTTTTAGCTTCTTCGGCTGTTTTCAGCCATCGTTCAGAGCTCATCTTTCACACTGCTTTCCTGTGGCAAACGAAAGTTGTTCTATTTTCTTCATGTTTATTTATTTGTTTGTAAACTTCAGGAGAGGATTGAGGAGGCGCTGCAGGCCAAGATGGAGGTGATGGAGACRAACACACAATGTCTGCGCAGCGTGGTCCAACTCTCCAAACAGAAGAGCCAACTGGAGGCCGAACTTCACTCCAGGCAGAAGAAAACGGTAAAAATATATTTGATTTGTTGTACGGTAAAATACACGGTAACTGTTCACCGTACAGTAAACAACATGTTGACTGTTCACCGTACAGTAAACAACATGTCGACTGTTCACCGTACAGTAAACAACACGTCGACTGTTCACCATACGGTAAACATGTCTATTGCTCACTGTACGGTAAACGTCGATTGTTCACCGTACGGTAAACAACACGTGGCTGTTCACCGTACGGTAAACAACACGCGGCTGTTCACCGTACGGTAAACAACACGCGGCTGTTCACCGTACGGTAAACAACACGCGGCTGTTCACCGTACGGTAAACAACACACGGCTGTTCACCGTACGGTAAACAACATGTCGATTGTTCACCGTATGAGAAACGTCGATTGTTCACCGTATGGTAAACATGTCGATTGCTCACCATATGGTAAACATGTCGATTGTTCACCGTACGGTAAACATGTCGATTGTTCACCGTACAGTAAACATGTCGATTGTTCACCGTACGGTAAACATGTCGATTGATCACCGTACGGTAAACATGTCGATTGTTCACCGTACGGTAAACATGTCGATTGTTCACCGTACAGTAAACATGTCGATTGTTCACCGTACGGTAAACATGTTGATTGTTCACCGTACGGTAAACAACACGTTGACTGTTCACCATACGGTAAACATGTCGATTGTTCACCGTACGGTAAACATGTCGATTGCTCACCGTACGGTAAACATGTCGATTGCTCACCGTACGGTAAACAACATGTCGACTGTTCACCGTACGGTAAACAACATGTCGACTGTTCACCATATGGTCAACACGTCGACTGTTCACCGTACGGTAAACATGTCGATTGTTCACCGTACGGTAAACAACACGTCGACTGTTCACCATACGGTAAACATGTCGATTGCTCACCGTACAGTAAACATGTCGATTGTTCACCGTACGGTAAACAACATGTCGACTGTTCACCGTACGGTAAACAACACGCGGCTGTTCACCGTACAGTAAACAACGTGTCGATTGTTCACCGTATGGTCAACACATCGACTGTTCACCGTACGGTAAACAACATCGACTGTTCACCGTACGGTAAACAACATGTCGACTGTTCACCGTACGGTAAACAACATCGACTGTTCACCGTACGGTAAACAACATGTCGACTGTTCACCGTACGGTAAACAACATCGACTGTTCACCGTATGGTAAACAACACGTCGACTGTTCACACGTTCATGCTGATAAGTTCTGCTGCCAGGATCAGAACCAGAACCAAACTTTGTCTCTTCTCTTTTATCCAGGGCAGACAGCAGTTCCAGGACTACAGGAGACGCTCAGACCAGGAGGACATCCAGCGCCTCCAGGAGCTGGTCCAAACCCAGTCTGAGCAGGCCGAGGCCCTCATCAGCGAGATCCACTTCCTGTCATCTAAAGGAGGCATAGTCCTACCCCCCATCCCCCCAAGTGATGAGTAAGAAAGAAAAAAATATACAGATTAGCTCTTTATTAATATACACATTAGTTTTTTATTAGCTTTAACTTCACTCTGCTGGACAATAAACAATTTATTGTTTTTATGTTTAGTTTTTATGTGATTAAATGTTAAAATATATGTTTTTATAAATGACAAGAACAGGAAGTTCATGTTCTCATCTTCATTCAGAGTTTGTTAAAAAAACTGATGAGTTTTTACTTTTTCTACCAAACCTGACCAGAACCTGACAGGTTCGGTTTTCATATGACATTAATTTTATTTTTTACTCATTTAAATAAACTCTTATTTTC